CAGTTTCCGATAGACCATCTAAACAAAACACTTCAACGGGATTGATTGTCATGCATGAAATCGATGTTTCAGCGCCCTCTACCAACTTTATCATGTTCGTTAACGGACTATGTATTGTCGCCGGAGGGCACCATGACAACGCGCATGTCTGTTGCGATACGCGCTTCTCATTGCGGAAACGCCGAGACCTCACAGATCACTTTCCCGGAAGTCGAAGCTGCGGCGTTTCGTATGCGCGCATACCGTTTTGGGGTGTAACATAAAACAGGCACGCGTGATATATTATGCTTCTGGGTGTACCAATCGACGTCACGAAAATAAAATTCTCTTCTATCTACCGAATATCTGTACAATTACATGTTTGTCTTTTATGACAAATTAGGCGTATGTCTGCATCCCAGGCTCGCTACTTCCGGGAAAGTGATCTATTGGTCAATCGGTACCACATGCAGCCTTGTTATCAGAAGATTGAGTTCAATGCACGAATACAAAAACAAGAATGCGTGTGACTGAGGCATGTTCAATACCACATTTGTATGGATCATCTAAACAAACTCTCAATGATTTTACAAGTGAACGTTATACGCGTAACTGAAATACAAACGCATACGATGCACAATTCACTTACCATGCCACCGAGCTCTTTTACAAGCTACAACAGCACGTATATTCAAGTATATTCATTTTGGGGGTATTATAATCGTAATATTATTGCACACATCCGCGTCATTTCCCTATTATCGCGTAATAATGGTCAGTATGTCGTCCTTTTTACCCTAATTACATTTCTAAAATTAACACAACGCTGCAAGATGACTGATTGTAACCATGGAAACCCGGGTAACTACGTGATTGATCTATTCTGGAAGCTATGAATATATTCCGTACATTTAGAGGTTTTAGCACAATAAGTGTGAATATTCTTCAGGGGGAATATTTGACATGCATGCAGGCACCGAAATAATCCATTGCGGACTCACCCAGTACTGATGATACGAATTAAAACATGCAGTATTTGTAACTGTTTCACGTCGTGCTGTAATCACATTTGTACCGGTGTTGTCCTGTGGTAGTACAAGTGTTTTCCGCTCTCTGTGCTTTCTTTCTACTGCAATCGTCAAAAAAAATGCACAGGACAATTTTACAATGTACATTCGAGCACCAGGTTACAATCAACTTGAATTTACTATGAACCTATTTACTGGCACAACAGTTGTACAGTGAGATCACTAAATAAAACCACAAAACAAAACAAGATGAACAACATGAAT